ATATATATATATATATATATATATATATATATATATATATATATATATATATATATATATATATATAGTTTCTAATCTAGTTCTATAAAATGTCCTGGTAAGTGGGCAGGACATTTCCACTTGCTTAAAGCATGCGTATCAGAAATGTAACTGGTTAACTGGAAATCATTTTCTAGGATTTTTTTTTTCTTACTAAATGCATTATAAAGTCTGTCTTGAATTCGTAGCTTCTATAAAAGCCTATCGTAGATCCATAACTGGATTGAGTTTAGTGTGAAAAAGACATTTTAATGAGGGAATGGAACTTTACAAAGGCTTTAAGACCCTCAAAATACATTTCCCCCTTATTATATAGAAATACAGCTATTTAAAATGTGTATATGAGTGTTTTTGGACCCCATTTAAAAAAGGTTAGCATTTTTATCGTATATTAACGTACAAAATCATATCTAATTTATGTATTAATTTGTTTGCGGTTTTTAATTGTATGTTTTATTGACCACATGTTATTGCCTTGAAAATGGCCATTGATGCTGACATGCTGATATATGATATATGGACCTCATATCTTTTTTTTTTTAGGACTGAATTGCATGCATATGTGCACATTTATTAAAGCAAAATTAAGCATTTATTTAGCTTTAAAACTTTTCAGAGTAAGATTTATGTTTTTTAGATGTTGTTTTGCTTAAATATATAGATTTAGTAAACGTAAACATGCACGGTGCATTTAGCATGAAAAAATATGTTTTAATGGGGGAATTGAACTTTACAAATGATTTAAGACCCACAAAATACTATTTCCCCTTATTATATATGAAGAAAAGTTGGCATTTAAAATATGTATAAATGTTTTTAGACCCCATTTAAAAATGTTTAATTCTATATTTATATTAAAACATATCTAATTTCTTGATTCAGTTGTTTGTGATTTTTAATTGTATATTTTAATAATGAGATGTTTTTGCCATGACAATAGCAGTTGCTGACATGGTATTAAAGAAAAATATTTGATATGGACCTCATCTCTCTCTTCTTTTCAGGGCTGAATTGCATGCATATGTGCACATTTATAAAAGCAAAATACATTTATTTAGCTTTAAAACTTTTCAGAGTAAGATTTATGTAGTTTAGACGTTGTTTTGCTTAAATATGTAAATTTAATAGTGAACGTAAACATGCACAGAGCATTCAAGTTGTTTTGGGTGTGGTTTGTGTGTAATTTCTCTTTTTATTAATTAAAGTACAGTAATAACATGATGCTAACTTCATGACAATCCAGACTTAATTCACATTTGCTAATTCATCTGAATTAATAAAGTTTCTGATCAGATACAGCATGGTTTTAGTCATGCCTGTTTTAAAGATCTCAGATTCACCAAGTGCAAACGGACCTGTAATGTAAATATTATACACCAATTCTAAGCGCATTATTATGAGAGCATGGCCAGAAATGCCTCAGGCTTTCACTTCTGTGCTTGAATGTGCATTTTCTCTCTCTTTATTGGATCTGCTGTGTCTGAATCACAGAAGCATCATGCGCACAATACGGTTAGCCAGGAAGAAATGTATTTTAAGTGCTTTATCTTTCAGGCATAATTATATTAAGCATTACGGCTGTTGCTGTGCTTGGTTTTTGTTTTGAAGTTTGCTCTGTCAGATACGAGGTTAAGTGATGTTAGAAATAACATCGGTAGTCAATATATTTAAAAGCTATATATTAATATTAGTAAAGATAATTATTTATTTATTAAATAAAGTACAATGCACATTAATAATACATGAATTTGATCATATTAGCCTAATTTTCACTTGTAAATATGATTGAATTGTTTAAAAATTGAAATGTTCACTTCACTGTTGATAATGTAAATGTAAAGAGCTTTGATAATGTTCGTTCTTATTAAGCATTTATATTTTAGTCAGCTGATCTTGCTTAGTATCCTCAGCATTGTATTTAGGTCAAACTGGAAGGTATATATTTGTGGATTTCCTGGGTAATTTCCAGTGGGTTTTTAGAAAAATAGCTTTTGATTCTCGAGTAAAACAAGGCCTGTGGTTTGCAGTTACTCAGACACTTCCACATTATGGTCTACAACATAAATCACGCACACAGTCATACCTTAAAAATACCACGTCGTCACTTTTTTTATGGACTAGTTCTGTGATTTTCAACTTTGTAATGTTTCAAAATAAGATTAATAAGAATAAGGTTACAAACTAGTGTTTTGCAGTAGTGTATGGTAAAAAAAAATCTGAATTGAATCAAACTTTTCTCATTGTTAAAGGTGCAGAAGGGGATTGTCTTCAGAAACATGTGTTGTTGTGCTGGTTGAAAGTCTTCCCAGTCCAATAGTAATGATTACGTAAATTACCTAAATGCGTTTATATGTATTTTTATATACTGAGCAAGGCATAAAACTAAAAATATGTTCATCCAGTTAAATATTGTTGGGCTGACATCTCTCATAATTCTGATAAGTAGCTCAAACTGTCTGTCAGCAACTGATTTGGGCTTTTGTGCATCTCTTTTCACGCATATCCGACATTAGCCCGTGTATAAGCGCAAAGCATTCACCACATGTGCACACGAGACAGTCACGGTAAAATCAAATGCTAAATTGAAACTTTTTAAAATTCTGAATCAATATTGGAGTTAGTTTTGCACGCTGGAGGAAGGACGACACCTGTTAGACAGGTAATGTTCTGTTTTAAAACTATTTTAGTCAGGCTAAGCTTACGTTAGATTGTGTTGGTTTATGAATGGGTTACATGCACAGACGTGTTCTTCAGCCACTGAAATCTTCCGGTGTAAGATTTTCAGTTTCATAAGGTCCTTTTACAGCATCGATAATTTAGATTTTTATTTAGTTTACCAATAAAACATCAGTAACTAGCGCTATTTCGCCTAGCCTGCTTTATTGAGCTGAAGTTGTTTTTAATATTTAAATTGGTTCATTTTTTAAACAATCACAGCCTTCCTATTGACCTTATACTAAAAAGCGGACCTGCGGCTTTTTTCGCAATTGTTTTAAAACTTCCGATTCAGTCGCCTATGGAAGAAATGACTAGAAATAATAAACAACAGAAAACGGTCAAACTACTTTCTCTACAAACAAATGTGTGTATTACTATACAGACCAAGTAGAATAATATAATAAGAAACTATCAGTTTGCAACATAAAGCAGCGTAACGAGCAGTTTTTAATGTCTAAAAATGAATGTAGGTGAATGAGACCGGAAGTCTCGAGCCAAAAAGATTCAAATGGCAGCTCCCGCTCGTCGGCAAAGAATAAGGTGAATACGGTTTACCATGCTACTCTGAATATTCGCTCGGAAATAGCATGCAAGTGTAGCTGAGTAATAAGTTTAATTCCTGCACGCCGCCGGCCAAACATTGACTACATTTCTAACTGGCGAATGACACAAACTAGTGGGTTGTCTGCTGTCGTGTCGTGGTATGCGTGTTTGCCATTTCAGGAGGCGTGGCTTTGAAACACAGTCCCTCCCCTGCATTCCAAAGATAATATGCTAAGCGGGTAGCATTTTGGCATATCACCTACTGCACCTTTAACATTTAAAATGCATCCTAGACACTGACGTTAATAAACTAATGATGGACAGCTGCTTCTCACTCAGGGCTGCTGTTCATGCTGATGAGGGAGAGACTGGCTGCGTCCGAAACCGCCTACTAATCTGTAGGTACTGCGTTTGAATTTAAACGTACTTCTCGGCCGTTAGAAAAGTGCGTTCTATGTAGTATGAATGTGAAAAGTATGAATGGAATTCGGACGTACTACATCCGCCATTTTGTCATGGTCACATGACCTACCTGCGTCAAGTGCGTCGGTTCACTTCCATTCATGAACTCTTTAGCAGGGCATCATGGGATAGCGCAGCGTGCATGGGATGCGCACTCCAGAATCTCGCCGGAAGTAGTACGTCATCCGGGTACTTCTCGCATACTGATTTTCAAATTCTATGAATTCGGACATACTACTCGGCTCGCATTCTGATTTTAGCGTACTATATAGTATGGAAGTATGCGGTTTTGGACACAGACATTGTCACTATTTCACTGGGTGGGGCTTTCCCCCCTCTGAATGTTTCTCTTTGTACATTTTGAAGTGTTTCTGCAGACGGTTTTTATCAAGTGTGTTTTCTAAAAATATTTAAGATATTTTACCATTAGAAGCTGGTTATATTCACTACACAACTGTTTAAATACCTTATAAAAAATTATTGTGCAATGGGTCCATTTTAACTTGGCCAGTACGAAGAGCACAAGTCTGTACAAGATTAACTTTAAATTGGTTGTTCATGCCTGATTTCTTTGTGCATTCAGGTAAGGTGATGGAAGAGGCCAGCAGGATTCCAGTGGTGCTAATTCAGCGGCTGTCAGGCTCCGTCCCATCATCAGTTCAGTAACGGCGCCAGTTCTCATCCCGAATCATCATGAAGCCAGTTCACGAGCGCAACCAGGAGTGCCTCCCTCCCAAGAAGCGAGACCTCCCTGTTAACAACAACAACAACAACACCTCCATTAACACCAACAGCAACAGCAGCAGTAGCATCAGTGGCGGAGCGGGAGGCAGTGGCATTGGGCCTGGAGGAGCAGGAGGAGGTGGTGAGGACGCTCCGTCTTCACAAAGCTCTGGAGCAAATGCAGAATCCCAAAGCAGCGAGTGGGTGCGAGCACAGACAGGGGTGCATTATGGAGTGGAGAGTGCCGAGGGTCTCGTCGGGCTGCCTGTAGATCAGTATAGCATGCTTTATAAAGTAGCTCTGCCAACTGGCACCTACTCGCCAACCAGTCTGCATCCCGTTCTGACCCATGCCTACACCGTTCCCTCCCCGATGCTGCAGCACACCAGCGTCCCCTACCCTCCCACGTTCCCACATTCCTCCCTGCAATTTGTCAACCCTCCATACCCAACAGCGGTCCCTTACGCCGTGCCTCCGGGATTTGTTCCTAGTTCCCTGATACCACCTCAGTCTGGCATTTCGCAACCACATTTGGTTCCATATCCATCAGTTATTCAGGAAGGAGTGGTTTCGTCCCAACCGCAGCCGCAGGTGTCATCCCATGCATACACCAAAATGTTAGCACCTCTGGTTCTTTCCTCTGAGCAAGCTGCAACGCAAGTGCCAATCGGGACTGTAGGGATGCTCCCGACTGGAGAGCTCAGCCCGAGAGGCGTGCCTGTGTTTTACCACCCCGCCGTCAGAGGTGTGCAATCGCATAGCAGCTCCCTGGAGCAGGACCGGGAGGTGAATGGAGGAGACCGAGACCACGGCGGCAGGGAGAGTCATCAAGATGCAGTTTATTCGGCTAGAAGTGTGCGGCTGATGCAGACGACTGTGCTGGAGCCCCAGCAGGACAAGAGCTTGAAGAGCCGCAGGCCGGAGGGGAGAATGTCTCCTGGACAGAGCAGCACACCTGACACTGATCTCGAGGTAGGCTTATGTCAAGATCAGATTTTTTCATTGTGATTGTCAACCTCAGTGTTTCCCCGACCCTGTTCATGCAGCCACACCAACAGTACATATTTTGGATGTTTCCTTTACCTGATAAATTAACTTCAGGTTTTGGAGTCTCCTATGTTCTGATGAGTTGATTCAGGTGTTTGATGAGGGAGAGAGGTTGAAAATGTGTACCGCTGGTGTGCCTTCGGTAACAGGGTTGGGGAAACACTGGTCTACCTGAATAGGGTATATGCACAGCTAGTGTTTTTTCCCTCTACCGATACACCTCTGAAAGGTCTGTCAGGGGTGTCCACACTCAGTCCTGGAAGGCCAGTGTCCTGGTGAGTTTAGCTCACATCACAAGTTGGTTGGGTGATGTTGACCAATTTGGCATCGAATGATGTCTAATGGGGCGAGGCAGTGGCGCTGTAGGTAGTGCTGTCGTCTAACAGCAAGAAGGTCGCTGGGCTGCTGGTTCGAACCTCTGCTCAGTTGGCGTTTCTGTGTGGAGTTTGCATGTTCTCCCTGCCTTCGCGTGGGTTTCCTCCGGGTGCTCCGGTTTCCCCCACAGTCCAAAGACATGCGGTATTGGGTAGGCTAAATTGTCCGTAGTGTATGAGTGTGTGTGTGTGGATGTTTCCCAGAGATAGGTTGCAGCTGGCATCCGCTGCGTAAAAAAACTTGCTAGATAAGTTGGCGGTTCATTCCACTGTGGCCACCCTGGATTAATAAAGGGACTAAGCCGACAAGAAAATTAACGAATGATGTCTTATGTGAAACATCGCGATCGTTGTCGTAGGCGGTGGTGAATTATTTTTGAACATTTAATTCATAACAAAATAATAATGTGTAGCCTTAGCCTACCGGTTTAACAACCTGACCCGCATGGTGTTTGTTTCATCCATAACCAAATTACAAATAAATAAAAATAAGTAACACACAAATTACCACCTGTCAGTCACTTTTTTCCGCGGGACCTTGGCATGAATAGGCAGAGTTATCTGTGTTGTTGTAATGACGTCGACAAACTTAGTTGGTAAAAAAGGTGCACAACCAACAGTGTGTGAGGTTTTAGCTGAGATGGCATCGTCTATCGACCCAACCCTAATCAAACACACCTGAACCAGCTAATCAAGCTCTTACTAGATATACTAGAAACCTCCGGGCAGGTGTGTTGAAGTGAGTTAGAGCTAAACTCCGCAGGACAACGGCCCTCCAGGACCACGTTTGCACATCCCGGTCTGTGTGACTATTTTTAATTTCATAAGTTTGCTTTTACAGCATCGATGTTGTAATGTAATTAAAATATAATCAGTTAAATAGACCTGCGTGTTTATTTAGTTAATTGATGCCCAAACTAGGGCCCGCGGGTCAAAGTTGGCTCTTTGTATCCTGTGATTTGGCCCTCCAGAGGGGAAATGATTAAAAAGGGTTGGGGAATGCCTTTAACAGAGATTCTCATTTCTATTTTAATGAAACCTTTTGTTTTATTGTTGAGCTACACAAAAGCAAGCTGAAAATAAAATTAATCAATTAAATGTTGTAAATGAATCAGATTTTTAAAAAATGTACATGCTGTCACCTAACGAATAGGGGACAAAGTAGAAGACATCAGCGTGCTAATCCGGGCAAAGGCAGGTTCAGCATGACTAGTGTATTCTGCATTGAACTCCTGTGTTTTGTAAACGGATTTTGTTATGGTATTATTGTAATAAGTTTGTTAAATTAATATTTATTTTCCAAAAAAAAAAGTAATGGAGTGGTACAGTGGGTAGTGCAGTTGCTACACAGCAAGACTGTCGCTGGTTCGAGCCTTGGCTGGGAGAATTGGCTTTACTTTGGAGTTTCGCCATTAGTAGTAGAAGGCGAGTGCTGAAACTCGTAAAATAAATTTAAAGGCAAAACTCAGCGCTTTTTGTACATTCTGAGACCCACTTTATATCGTACATCAATCAGGCAGTGAAGAACATTGATTTCTAAATACAGTTTACTGCAATCGCTTGAACTGGGTTACTGAAAATTAAAAGATTTTCTGCAAATACCCCTATTAGTTTTCAGTTACGTCTCAAAGTTGTCAACTTTAGGTTGAAGGAAGCCATTGAAACTGAGTTTGTGAAGAGATGTCAATGATTTATTTAATGGACAGTGTTAAGTTAGACTTTTATTAGCATAATAATGTATACATAATGAATTGTATGCCATGTGGTAAACTCAAGCATGTTGGTTTTTGTGCGTCTGATATCTGCAAACACCAATGTGGTTTGTACTAGCGTGTGATGCACACACATGCTTCCATGTTAACCAGATTTCATTCATTTTATGTATGTTTGGAAACCGCAAGAGGGGGGGAGTGATGATGAAAAATGATGAAAGGATTTATTTTTGGTCTCCCTTTTATTATCTCATCATAGCTGAATTGTTAGTGTGTGTACTTTTTGCCAATGTGTCACCCATTTAAAATGAACAGCTTTTGTAAGAAACATATTGAACATCGTTTTGCTTAAACTAAAAAACTGCATAGTTCCCATTTGTTTTAACAACATTTGGCATTTTAAAATCAGAAATTGGGTGAGCGTTGTGTCAAAGTAAAGCCAGACCAAATGGCTATGCTATAAACAATTTGAGAACGGGAAGTTCTTTCAGAAGAAGTGATTACGATATTACCAGAAATGAGCTGTTAATGTGTTTGGCCAGTTTCGATTTCTTATTGACTCTGAACAGCAATTTGACACGTCACAGAAATATTGACGTCAAGAAAGCTGAAAACTGATTAAAAATCCCCCCTCCAAAAGATTATAAATCACATTTTAATCACAAATACTCAACCTCTGTTGTTTTGGTCTGTTCATGCATATTTCCAAATGGTCTTTAATTTTTTTAAATGTTGTTTTCAATGTAATTTCCTTTTTATTATTTTTTTCCTAATATCTTTTTATGCCATCCCCATTTGTTATTATTTATCTCCATTACCTTTTTTTTACTTAAACGCTTTTAGTTAGTTCCATAGAGAATGTTTCTATTTTCGTCTGTAAGAGTTCTGTGTAAAAAAGTTGGAAGTGAGGTAATCATTCTGTACAACCTGACACATTTTATGAAACTGTCTTATCAGGAAGCTTCATGTGGAGTGGGCTAGGGCTGTGCGGATATGCAATAGCATGCTAAATAATGCAATATTAAATATGTTTACATATCGATTACAAATGATGTAATCAATGTATTCACTCACTCATTCATTCATTGATTTATTTTCCTTCAGCTTAGTCCAGGGGCGTCCACACTCAGTCCTGGAGGGCCAGTGTCCTGGAGAGTTTAGCTCCAACCCTAATCAAACACACCTGTACCAGTTAATCATGCTCTTACTGAGTATACTAGAAACTTCCATGCAGATGTGTCGAAGCAAGTTGGAGCTGAAGTCAGAAGGACCCCTGCCCTCCAAGACAGACTCTGGACACCCCTGGTTTAATCCCTTGTTTATCAGGGATCACCACAGCCAACTATTCCAGCATGCGTTTTACACAGCAGTTGCCTTTCCTGCTGCAACCCAGTACTGGGAACCACTCATACACTCTCGCATTCACATACACACACTCATACACTACTGCCAATATAGTTTATTCAATTCACCTATAGCACATGTCTTTGGACTGTGGGGGAAACTGGAGCACCTCGAGTAAACCCACGCCAACACTGCGAGACCATGCGAACTTCAGAAATGCCAACTGACCCAGCCGGGACTCGAACTAGTGACCTTCTTGCTATGAGGCGACAGTGCTAACTGCTGAACCACCATGCCGCAATAACCAACGTATGTTTCATATTATTTCAGGGATAATAAAAACGATAAAGCATCACTACAACTTCTGAAACTGAACAACCATGTTTTACTTTTGCATAAAACAAATCAAACATTTAAATAATGTAAACATTCATTTATTCATTTTCTTTCTGGCTTAGTCCCTTTATTAATCTGGGGTCACCACAGCAGAATGAACCACCGACTTATCCAACATATGTTTTACGCAGCAAATGCCCTTCCAGCCGCAACCCAACACCGGGAAACAATAATGTAAACAAACAAAGAATAAAAAAAATAAACATCACGGCCCCTTTGCTCAATTTTGTATAGATATATCAACCGGATGTGCATATTGAGACATAAGCATTTGTGACATTTTAATAATTTCTTGAAAGTGTGCCTTGTCCTTTGCAGTGTTATTATATTATATTACAGTTATATATATTTACTTATCGGTCTCCTGTTTCATCCCCTTTATTGGATTTTCAGAGTTTTGCCTTTTTTTGAGGCATTTCTGGTGAGTCAGCAGCATCAGTTACACCACTTCCTTCCTTTATTAGCTCTTCTCTGGGTGTGTTGAGGATTGAGTAACTCTGGCTACTACTTCTTAGAACCAACAGAGATTGGTTTTTGATTTATACTGAAATCAGCTGTGACTTTGAGGCTATTCTCACCTTCTATTTATCACTTTCCAGCTTGTGGTGCAAAGCATTTTCCGTCTAGTTTTCATTAATTTCTAACCCCAAGTCTACTAAATTATATGTGATACACGCGTTTCTAAGCCCCCAAAGTTATTAAAGGCCCCCCACCCAAAAATAAAATAAAATAAAAATGATAACGTTTTGACAAAATGCTGGGAGTAGTGAGAATAATCATTTTTTAGTTTTGCTGCCAACAAAAGACTCCTTTTTCTCAAATATTTGTAACCCACCGGTCTTGCTGCACCCAACCTGCCCGGTCTGATTCTTTGCATGGGAATCTAACAATGCTCTAACAAGGAGGCTGAAGACCATGGTCTCATGGGGGCTCGTCCGGGATGGGAGTGAGGTTTAGGGGGGTGAATGTTACGGAGACCAGCTACCAGAAGTGCTATCCAGGTAAACCTCACTTCTCTGACCTCAAAAAAGGTGCATTAGCGACAGACTCTAGCGGCCATGGTCTTTAGCTTCCTTGTTGGAGCAACCGACTCCCATGCAAAAAAAATCACTGGTTCGATCCCAGCTCAAAGCGGGTTGGGTACAGTAGGGCTGGTGGGTTGCACGTCAAATTGTTCACACATTTCTCTAATGCTGTGTTCACACCAGATGCGGAACGCGCGTCAAGCGCGAGTGATTTACATGTTAAGTCAATGCAAATGCGCGAATAGACATCCTGCGGCACTATACGTGCGAATGACACAAATTGTGCGAATGGCGCGGGGCGAATTGGTCGTTTTGCGCGTTTGACACGGTTAACGAGCATTTCGCTCGAATCTCTCGAGTTTGAAAATCTGAACTTCAGCGGACATTCGCGCCGCGTTAACCAATCAGAAGCTTGCTCTTGTGAGGGCGTGATTGTGACGTAGAACCTGTTGTCGTTGTTCCAAGGGAAATCCTCCAGCCTTCACCGACAATAGTTCATCAAACTCGGCTTGGCTCAGTCAGAAGCAACGCTGAAAGCCTCCGTCATCCAGGTTCAGTTTCTGGAGGAGTTTATGAGCTCACAGAGCTGGATGCACCTCTGAAAGAATGTAGTGGACTCAGACACGACCCTAAACGTATCGACGCTGTTTTTCAGTCCTCATAAAGCACATAAACACTGTTATTTTCTTCATAAAATCCATGTTGGCCATTTAGCTATGAAGCTAGAGTCTTCAGGCAGACAGAAGCCCTGCCCAATCCGCGTCTGTTCTGAAGTGAATTTGACACGCAAATGAAGCGGGGTTTGACACGCAAATGAAGCGAGTAAACTCAAATGTTCACGTGGCTATTTATGCGCAATTTATCCATGCGTTCCACGTCTGGTGTGAACACAGCATAAAGCTGTTCTAAAACTGTCATTGTTTTCGTATTAAAATCATAATTTAATCATCGTTCCGTCTACCGCAAGTATGACCTCCATTTCATAGATTGAGTCCTGTATCAAAAATGCACGCAAGCAACATGGAATATTCATATTTTTACCAAACTGTTACAATTACAAAAATATAGTTATCTATTCCTGACTATTTCAAATGCCTTGGTTTACAGTGCTTAAATAAAATGACACTTTAAATTTGGTTTCTTTTATAGGTCCAGCAGGTGGTTGGACGACTTGCCTCTCCCGTTCACGGCTCAAGCCGCAAGGATGCATCGCACGTTCCTCTGAACCTGTCTCAAAGCTCTCAGAGGAGTCGAGAGACTCAGGGTGAAATCAGAACAGCATATGCATTAAATCCTGCTGAATCCAGAGCTCATCAGCAGCAGATCGTTCAACAAGGCCATGCTGTGATCCTGGCCAACGGGCAGCCTGTTCTTGTACCATTGGATTATCATCACCACCATCAACAACAACAACAACCGCAGCAGCATCATTATCAACCCAATGATGTGGCTTCAGCAGCTATCGTTGCCTCCCCCGCCACATATACAAAAGCAATGGATGCAGCAGCTTGTCTCCCAGAGCGAGCAGTGGCAGAGCCGCCTCCCCAACAGGGTCAGCAGGTGATTTCTGCCCCAGCTCCTGGTGCTTTTCCACAAGCTCCTCTGCTAGCACCCACCGGCCCATCGCACTTCATGAAGGGCGCCATTATCCAGTTGGCGACAGGAGAGCTTAAGCGTGTGGAAGATCTGCAGACTCAGGATTTCGTACGGAGCGCAGAAATGAGCGGCGGTCTAAAGATCGACTCTAGTATGGTGGTAGACATCCGTGCTAGTCAACAGCGTCCCGGCCTAGTGGCACTTCATTTCAATGTAGGGGAGCAGCAGAGCAAAGTGACTATAGATGTCCCCCCTGAACACCCGTTTTTCGTTTACGGACAGGGCTGGTCGTCTTGTAGCCCTGAGCGGACTGCGCAGCTGTATGGTCTCACTTGCCACCATTTGCAAGTGGGTGATGTTTGCGTGTCGGTGACTTTGCAGCAGCAAGCTGCTTCCCAGCAGAAACCACCACAGCAAGTGCAGGCCCGGACTCCCACCAAAGCCAACTCCACATCAGGAGCCACACCTCAGCCTATGGGCCCCCCTGCACCCCAGCACACACCTCGACCACAAAGTCACTTAAAGATCCACAGAGAGAGGGAACATAACAAGGAAGAGCCCATGCAGATTGGAGGATCCCGACACATTGACATGCCCCCCAGACCCAACAGGACTTCAGCAGAGCACACGCATAGCCAGAGCAACTACTATTTGCACACGGAGGGTCATGCTCCTGGAGTGGGAGCCGCGTCCCAGAGGCGATGGTCTGCCCCTGGCTTCCAAAGATACAGCATCAAGAATGAGGATGGAAGATTAGTCTCCGCTGCCACCTCTGGCTCCTCTAGGCCATCGTTTATCCCTCAGGAGGTCAAACTATCCATTGAGGGACGCTCGAATGCCGGCAAGTAGCAGCCAACACAAAAAGAGATTGTCTATGGGAGCGAAGTGTCAGTGGGATTTGAAAGAGGGAGCATGGTTGAAGGGAGAGAGAATGTAGCCTCAGAATGTTTGAGATTTTGCACATATTGGAAGATTCCCCCTACTCTTCGGTTCTGGTCTCGAGTGGAGGACTTGTGCCAGGTTGTAGTCAGCACTCGCAATGATATGCATGGGCAGCTTTATCTGGTAAAATCACGTACCAAAGCCTGCGTTGTCTGCGTGTTCCTGTGGGTGAAACGTCATGTTTGGCAGTGGTCACTTGCGCAAAGAAATCTTGCAGTTCCTCGAGTAGATGTTTATTTCTGAAAGGCCAGGGATAAGAATGGGATACAGCCATAGAATCTTGACAAGCCTTTACAATAATAATAATAATCATATATTTTAAAGAAGGACAAAAGAGGATAGATTGCTTAACATCTTTTTTTTCCCTAAAAGACAGACTCTTTCTCTCTCTGAACGTTAACTGGTTCACTTGTTGTACCGCCAGTCTTTTATTGGCTTAAACCTTAAAACGTGGACAGTTTTTAATACGTCTCTCTCTAGAGATGTGTTTTTCCTCACTTTCCTATACTCTCGTCCTCTCTCTGCCTCTTCTCAGGGTGCTTCTGCTGAGGACTCCTTTCTAGTTCGGAGTTTGAGAACAGTTGCCCAATGTCGTCACATCAATCACTTGATCCAACAATCTTTCTACAATCAGGAACTATTTCCAGATGAAGCCTAGCACGCATCTTAACCATTGCATTAATGACTCCTCAAACCATTAATGGGTTTTAGTTTGATTCTACAGTGGCTCTGAATCTGCATTCCAGTTTCAATGTGATCTCTCCTCATCGACCTATTGGAGTTATCATTTCCAAGTATGGCTGGCCTAGGATAACCACCTCTAAATAGTACCTCATGGTTGGAAGCATCCTTCAGTCTGATTATGAACTTTAAAAAAAAATCCTACATAGTTGTGCCCGTTCCTGGAAGCAACATGTGGTGTCAGCCAAAATCAACCCTGCTTGGGAAGCTGAGACCAAATGTGGAACAGGTTGTAGCCTTTTACGAATGGCTAGTTCCTGTGGAAATGGATTATTGCTCTGAAGCATGCAGGTTTAAATGAAGTCGTCCTATTGGAAGCATTTAGCACACACACACACACACACACAAGCGTAGATTCACTGCTGTCGGGTGTGGACTGACCATGCTCAGTTATTGAAATCAAAGCAATAGTTGTGTCAGAACACATTTCTCATGGTTCTTTCTTTCCCAATATCCCGTACAAGATATATTACTCCTCGTGTTTTGATAATTTTTTTTTTCTATGTGCAGCAGTTGCACTCTGTATGTAGAGACCATTTTAACCTTATCCTGCACTTCTCTTGATTCCTTTTAAGATGATGCAGTTTTACCTATCTTCATTCTAACCGTTACTACAAGAGTTCATTTAAGGCATGCAATTACCCCTAAAACTTCCATTTAGGCACATTTTATTTCTGATTGTTTGTGTTTTCAGAGATGACTGAGCTTTTCTATAACATTGGATTAGGATGTTTTTAGACCCTGGCCCTTACACCACGTCCTAACCAGGTATGATATAATACAACAAGTGAAAAAAAGTCATAAGTTATCTTGTGTCAATTCTAGAGCTGTGGATTTGTTAAATAAATTGAGACGATTCTGAGGTTTTTCAGAATACGCCGACATTCTCTCTTGAGTCTAATTGGAGTTTAGTTTTTAACAGCGCTGTATGCTTTACAAAAATTGTATTCTGCTTGCATGCAAATCTTTGCAAATACCACATCAATCGAATATAATCATTAATTAAGTTAGGAAAGGTTCAAGCGAATTTTCAAGTATCTAGTCTAGAACACCACCTGCTGTTTAAAACTAACCTAGAGCGCCATCTGCTGTTTACAAATTAGCCTAGAGTGCCATCTGCTGTTTACAAACTAGCTTAGACTGGCATCTGGTGTTTAAAAACTAGCCTAGAGCGCTATCTGCTGTTTAAAACATGCCTAGAGCACAAATTTGCTGTTCAAAACTAGTCTAGAGCGCCATCTGCTTTTTAAAAGTAGCCTCGAGCACAAATTTGCAGTTGTAAACTATCCTAGAGCGCCATCTGCTGTTTAAAACAAGCCTAGATCGCAAATTTGCTGTTTAAAACTAACCTAGAGCGTCATCTGCTGATAAAAACTAGCTTCGATTACCATCTGCTGTTAAAAAAAGTACCCTAGAGCGCCGTCTACTATTGAAAACTAGCCTAGAGCGGCACCTGCTGTTTAAAAACTAGCCTAGAGCGGCACCTGCAGTTTAAAAGCTAGCCTAGAGCGCCATCTGCTGTTTAAAACTAGCCTAGAGTGCAAATTTGCTGTTCAAAACAATTCTAGAGCGCCATCTGCTGTTAAAAACTAAGCTTGCAATCGATTCAAGACAGAACAGTTATGCAAATCTCAGAATGAATGCAGAATCGATTTCTGGAACAATTTTTCAGCACAGTCTGCACTTTTATTGTATTTCGGTATTTGTTTTTGGGTGGCTCAAACAAGCATTTCATTGGTCACAAACTTTTCCATAGGTTATAAGTTACATTTGGATGAACAAATTTATCGTCACTGGAAACCTATCGCGTAATCCCTGGTTTGGACTGGTGTTAAACCATAAGCTCATCTCTGGAACTAGCTTTATTAATCCCGTTTCTAGTTTGTGCTGAGGTTCCTACTTGGTTTCAGTAGTTGTTGAACTCTTGTACAGTGTTGCGTTCTGTCTCTCTTCTTGGCAATATTACCCACGAGTGATTTTGAAAACTTGTACTGCAGGTCTTGTATTGCACAGATTAGTTCAATTGATTCACACTGACTCTTTAACGGGAATCAGATACGATGTGTTTTAATGTTTGTTTTTTTTCTTTAATAATGAAGGGAAAATGTTTGTGTTGTTTTTGAAGTATTGAGTTTTGTTGGTGGCGATTCGGCTCATGAGAAACTGACAGGCAAGGTTGACACTGTTTACACATTAGCCAAGAGAAAATGCTGCAGTTTCACTTTTCGTAGTTACTGAACATTTTCAGATGGATCGAAATCACGACTTAAGTGCAATTAGACCAAATATCATAAACATTAGGATGTTCATGTTTTATTTCAAAACAGCATTCCAGAAAGAGCCTGACATTCCCACTTTTTAGTTGTTGTTGTTCTCTATGTATAGTTTCTTTTCCCTCAATGTTTTTAATGCCTCTTACTACTTATCAGATGCAATTTGTTTTAAATTTTGGCCCAAGTTCTTTCACAAGACCTTTGATATTTCTGTGTTGTTGGCTCTTGCTGGGCTCTCCGTGTTTGGACTAGATTTTAGTTAAACCGTTTTGGATTCTCTCTGTCACTCAAGGCTTTAAGAGAGGTTTCTTTTAGGTAAAGAAAATAATATATTTTTTTAAGTAAGTGTAGCGCTAGCACTCGACTGCTTACATTTTGACTTCCTTCAGACTGCATCAACCTCAATGATACCACATGTCTTTGCCGATCTCAAACCTCTAATGGAACATTAAAAATTGAGTTCATGGAACTCAAAATATAGGGTTCAATAACCATTTATCCCACTGGATAGTCTTTGTTACCAACAAGTCTGATTTAAATGGAATGAAGAAATGGCCATGTGTGTATCGAGTATAACAGTATTTGGGTTTTGATCAACCTAGACTAGGGTTGTCACGATACTGGAATTGGATACCAATCAGTACTGAGATTTTAAAAACATCCATTTCCCGCTAAAATTTGAGCACATTCTTAATCAGCGCTGATTTGCCAGTGTGTTCACATGCTCAACAGAAATGACTGTGATTGGCTGGAAGGTCATCAATTCACCAAACTCGCTGCTTTTTACTGTTGTGAACACAGATATAGGGACACTGGAGCATTTTAAAGTCACGTCAATCAGCTGGTTGGTCTATAAGCTGAAATACGAATGACCCACAGATGAATCATGGCTTTGAAATGCTCCAGTGTCCCTGTATCTGCGAATACACTCAGTAAACAGCGGTGAGTTTGATGAACTGATGACCTTCACAGCCAATCACAGTCGTTTCTGTTGAGCAAATCAGCGCTGTTTAAAAACGCGCTCAAATGGTAGCGGGAAATGGATGATTTTAAAACCTCATTGATATTGAATTCCAGTATCGTGACAACCCTACCCTAGACTGGTTCAAATCCATTTGTCGCTTGTTTTTATGAAGCATTTCATGAACGTCGTCTGTTAGTATTTTGTTTGGAGACTTCCTGTTCCTTTTTAAAAGGAGTCCCACTTTCATGCTATTTATACTCTGGTGTCAAATCTAGTTCATATTTCTTCCTTCCTCTGTCCCCTTTGTCCCAGATTGTTTCTGTGGCAATTTGGACCCCTTTAAGAGGACACTTTGCTGTTGTTGATGTTGTTCACTTCATTGTGGGAAAGCCAGCCTGGAGTTAAAAGTCCAAAATTGCCATCCAGACAAAAATCTTCCTGACTGGAAGTAGTAACTGCTTTAACCGGCCTATTCTGGACTGCAGGTCTCTAGCCATTCAGGTGGATTTGGTTTGCTCATTTTAAAGCATTTTTAAGGCAAAGTTGGTTGGTCGACAGCTTTGACTGGTTTAAGTTGTTAGGTTGTTCCAGGGAAATAAAATCTATATATATATATATATAAAAACTATTTGTTATACAAATTAGGATCTATTCCATTGTTTTAAGTATTAGGTTTGAATCGAAGCAATACTTGACTCGAATTAGCAGAAAGATACAGCTTTAGCATGAGCTATGCAGAAGAGACTCAATCAGCACCCTATGCTTATTAATGCAGTTTCGACAGTCAACTCTCACCAGTTTATCTGTGGTTTGTTCACATTTCAAGAAGCGTCTGATACCGTTGAGCATTCTATATATTTTTTCTCTTGTAACCCACAGGCTTGGTGACCTTATGGTAGTGGTTAGTTATCTCACTACCTAGTCACATGACTTGAAGCTTATCTAGTGTCACTTGTTTGGTGCTGTATGTTTTTTTTTTCCCGTTAGCAATGGTGCACTGTTCTCAGTCTTCTCAAATGCACTGCCTTACCAGCCGTCTCTCATCGAGATTAAATCTGAATCCGTTGTGGCGGAGACTCTACTGAGTTTGCTTTCATTAAGAACTGAGCTACTACCCTGTGCACTGTAAACAAGAGAAAGTGACGCTATGTTTGTGCCTTCCCGATGTCTTAACTTTACTCTGGTCTGTCTTAAGCTTTGTTCTCTGGGAGATGTGTGTGTGTGTGTCTCCATTTGGCTCATCGTAAACGTGAAACCCTTCTGTGCTGTTGAGGGCTGTCTAAACTTCCACCTTAGTTTTGTGGCATCCCAAATATCTCGATTGGATAAAAGACATAAGCACTGCTGTGATGATCTTTTTTGTTTGTAGGCAAATCTGGAAGTTTGCATCACCCTTATTTGCCCAACAAAACCTCCAATAGGACTTTTTAATTAAATAGTGGATTATCGAAGACCGTAAGCTCTGTGCGCGAACAAAACTGCATTCAGCTTCAGTTTTCCCAATATTAATATAATTTTGAGCCCAGTGCCGCATCTGAGACATTTAGATGGAAGCGTCCCGACAAAGTCTAGCATGTTTAATTTTTTACAGTCACAACTCATTTACTGACTATACAATGTGATTATTGAGTTACCATTAATGTCTTTAATTATATTATTTATTTAAAAAAATTATTAGGAAGCATTTGTTCAGTTTTTAGTCAAGTGCATCCAGAAATTTCCTGTCAGTGCTTCCCCTAGTTCTGTCGCTTCTGTGATGTTGACCGATATTCTTAAAAGTGTTTTTTTTTAACCCAACATTGGGTCAAACATGAACAAACCCAACTGTTAAAAGTGTAATTTAAAGTTGATTGGAAAAAAATGAACCCAACCATGGGTTTGTCCATATTTAATCCAATGTTGAGTTAAAACAACCCAGCATTTTTGTTATTCTTTGGAATAAGAGCAAAGACAGAACGTTGGGTCAAACATGCACAAACCCAACCGTAAAAAGTGTAATTTAAAGTTAATTGGAAAAACGAACCCAACCATGGGTTTGTCCATATTTGACCCAACGTTAAGTTAAAACAACCCATTGTTTGTTTTTTTAGAGTGTAAGAGCAAAGAAGGTTTTCCATGCTTTCATGGCGAAATGATAATGCTACATACTGAAGAAAATGCTGGGCTATTTCAACCCAAAAATTATTTAGGTATAAATAGGACAAACTAAACGCATGGGTGTTGTTGTTTGAATTGAGTTAATACTTCAGTTTTAACCCGATGGTTGGGTTTGTGCATATTTCACCCACATTTAGGTTGAAATAACCTAGCAATGCAGGTAGAATAATATAATGAAAACATCTTAATTGCATCACTTGCATAGTTAAAAGCACGAATAAAGCACCATGTAATAACTGGCTGCGTTTAAAATTGCATACTTCGCTAGTATAGTATGCAAGCCGAGAAGTACGTCCAAATTCATAGAATTCGAAAAACAATATGCGACATGTACCCGGATGACCTACTACTTCCGGCGAGATTCTGAATTGCGCGTTGGACGCAACACTACCGCATGATGTCCCGTGAGAGAATTGATGAGTGGGAGTAAAGCGATGCAACTCATTCGGCTAGGTCACGTGATCATGTCAAAATGGCTGATGTAGCATGCCCGAGTTCCATTCACACCGCTCGCATTCATACTGTACAGAACATACTTTTCTAACGGTCAAGTAGTACATTTAAAGTCAAATGCAGTACCTACTGAGTAGTGTTCGATTTTGGATGCAGCTTATGATTTTGTCCACAACCCAGCAAGTAAAAATGGAATTAAATTAGAGCTAGAATACTTCGCTGATAAAAACATAGTAAAGGCTCATACACACTGGGACGATTTTCGTTTGTGTTTTATTGCCAGCGTTTTTCGACACTTTTCCGGATTCAAACCTAAGCGATTTATTTATTTTTTTCTCCCCCCACTGGCGTCGAGCACAAGAGTATGCAAAATAACTCCTTGACGTTAGATGGCGATACACAACTTTAAGCTCCTGATACCCGCTTGTAACAGAAGAAGACAGAACGTTGACACCCTTGTTATGAATGGATCAAGTAGCAGCTCCAGCTCTAGAGATGAAGAAATGATTATTGTTCATCAGAGCAATAAGCAGCTCCTCGTTCATATCACCTCATCTTCTTCAATGTGCGCTCGCATTGACAGGTTTGCGCTTGAGCGCCTCCAAATGCTGTTTACTGTAACTTCAGCAGCTCTGTGCATGTGAACTAAAGTGTCGATCTGATTGGTGGAGAAGGTTTTGATGTGGCACGTCAAACCAAAAAAACGAGCCTTAGATGTTTCTTTTAAAAATGACACTTACGGCTGCCGTTTTGCGCGTTGGTGTGCACGATCACACATATTTATTTAGTCACGAGGCGTAAACTGTTGACTGAAAACGTGAGCCAAAAGCGTCCCGGTGTGCAGTCCTTCAGGCTGTAAAATCGATTTGTGAGTCAATGAGTTTACATGACGGTTTAATGTCCAACATATATAATAGTCCCATTCAAGACATGCAAAAGCTTTAAAAATCACATCTCATGTCATGCAATAAAATAAGTAGATTGGAGGCGTTTAAAGGGATAGTTCACGCAAAACTAAAAATTCTGTCAACAAAGTTATTTTGAAATCTTCTGAAACTGGTAACCACAGACTTTCATTGTAGTTGGTTTTTTTGCAAGACAATGTTTACAGGTTTCTATCATTATCCAATATATTTTGTGTTCAACAGAGGAAAGAAACTCTGAAACCACTTGAGGGTGAGTAAATAGTGGAATAGATTCATTTTTGAGTGAACTGTCCCTTTAAGCAAAAAGGATGATGGAACCAGAAATGCTAACATGCAACAAATTTCTTTATTTAGGCCTACAAAACATTGCATCCCTGCTTATCGATGCAGTTTTATGTGTAAAATAGCAACTCCGTTTGTGAGTTTGTTTTATTTTAAATATGGGGTCAGTTTGGCATTGGTAACAGCACTGAAGGGTTTATTATGAGCTACATTCCAGTGGATGGTAGTACGCTTCTGCATTTCCTTCTTTCTATGGATGTGTGAAAATTAATCAAATCATATCCTTACCTCACTTTTGTATACATGTTGAGTACAGCGCCCCCATGGTAAAAGCATGTCATCTCCCTATAATGATCAGGGCACCTGCACACTAGACACTGAGTCGTATTAGAATTTCTGCAATAGTGCTGATTAACAAGTAATAGTGACTCTCCGCATACATAATAAAAGTTGCATTTACATAATATATATATATATTTATAAAATACTATACACACACACACACACACACACACACACACACATATATATATATACACACACACACATAAATACACATATATATATACACACATATACATACATGCATGCTTGCCTGTGTATATACTTGCATGTATATTAATATATATAATTTTATGCTAAATAAATTTAGATTTCTGTCTATACATGTATATATTGATGTGTGCATTTATAAATGTACACATCAATGTATATGCTTTCAAATTTTTACTTGTATAT